CGTCACCAAGAATACTCCCTACGAGTACTCCCTACAAAGTCGGGTACGTGGGAATGCATCGAACTGCCTCATTGGACGCGAGCCGAACGAAAGGGATCTTCCCAGCTGAAATGAGAGCCCGTCTGGCACATGGTGACATTTCCTAACACCCACCGAACTTGGCTGGAAATAGTCGTGGATTCTTGAGGACTTGTCATTGTCATCCGATCACCGTCACCTGGAGATACCAGGGGCTTCTAGTGTTCTAAATGAGCACTTCAAAGATAATGGTTACACCATCGCGGCAGAATGTTTTAGCATACAGTCGTTTCTGAAGGACACAGCAGAAGAGCGAAGGTACTGAGGGCGTGGCTTTGCATCAAAACAGTGAGCTTGGCCTTTCCTATTTCAATGGGTATATGTTAAGGTAAGAACACCGCTTTTACCCCCGTACATGTTCTGTTTGGGCCGGACCTTGGCCTCCCTTTTGTTCATCTCTATCGTTAGAAACACAACACATTGCGCTTCTCGCTGTCTTAATGCCCGACATTTACCCCCCTCTTCAGCCTCTCCACGAGCGCCTCCAACTCGGCATTGCGATCCTCCAAAGTCGCTACCTCTCTTTGCAGCGCCTCCTTCTCTGACCTTAGTTGCTGGACTTTGGTCGCCATCTTCTCGCGATGTCTCAAGCTGTCTTCGAACATGGCCTCCACGCGACTTAGCAGCACATCCCCAGTTGAGCCACCGGCCACTGCAGTAGCACCAGCGCTGGGGGTTGTCATGGATCGAGTCCGCAACTCCGAATTTGCTTTCTCAAGCTCCAAAACCCGTTGCTCCATCGCAGCTGTGCGCGCTTGTTGCCATAGATCGTCTGAATCGGATCTTGAGAGCCTCTGTGGAAGAGGGGTAATCGCCCCACCACCCATCAACGACCGTCTCTCTTGGGGCTGCGAGGTCTGCAGTCTCCCAGACCAGGTCGCTTTCGCAAGCTTACCTCTCAAAATCAACACGTTCTCCAAGTCTTCGTCTCTCAGCTTTCTCATGGCGGCATGCCCACGCTTTTCTTCAGCCAGCAAATCCCGTACTTTGATCAGATTGGAGAGATCTTCGTTCCTCAGGGACAATAGATCAGCATGGCTTTTGAGGATGGCTTGGTGCTCGCGTTCAAGCTCGGTGATGCGAATTTGAAGTTGGTCGTAATCCTTGGACATAATTGTTGGGTGAGATCGTTCAACGTCGGCGACGCGGAGGAGGATGGAATGGAGAAGGACGGACATAGGACCAACGGATTCGAATGGAGGGGCTGGGTTACTGATAAGCAGCTCGTCTGTGTCGTCAGACAACTTCATGCCAGTCACAGTTGGCGTTTTGAGATCTATATCCCCGTGGTCCGTCGTCGAGTTGTCCTCAGCAAGGGTGGCGTGCGAATCATCTGTCACCACAGATTCACTACGTTTCCTCTGCATCTCCAGCCTCTGGTGCACTTCGCGGTGCTGTTTTGCGGCAACGAGGAAATGCTCCCGTGAATTTAAGGCAAGTGTTCGCTTCTTGGGCTGCCAAAGGGGCATGTCATCCGGATTGGACGTCAAGGCCTGTGGCTGGAGTTGCGGTTGAAGCGATGGGTCGGGACACCGCTTCTCGTCCTGGTATGCTGATAAGATATTGTCATTCTCGTTCTCGCCGAAGTTGGTGTCCGGGCTTGATGCCAGCTGTGATGAGTTCTGGCTCGACGCGGACGTTGCCATGGAGGCCACTGACATCGCGATAGAATGGCTAGAGGGTGTACGCGTAATGCGGCTGGGTGACCACATTGTCACAGGAGTCGGTGATGGAGGATGCTGTTTTGAAGATATGGAGCAGCAAGACCAGGTGAACAGTGCTTCGCAATGGATTACCTGTGCAAGGGTGACGCATCGAAGAGCAATTGCTCTGCAAATGTATGGAGTAGAAGGAAATAAGGCGAAGATATGACCAGACTCCGCCCAGATCAAGCGATCTATCGACCTTTTAAGGTTTCGTGATATTGGTACTTGGTCCTCTGTAGTCAAGACGAAAAGGGGGAGCTTGTGCCTGAAGCAGCGTGAAACATCCCCCTTGCTTCGGCTTGACGAGGCTGTGACTAAGTTGAGACGATGCCGTTTCTGCTATGCGATAGGACGAGGCTGTGGTGGCTGCCGCCAATAGCAGTGCCTGTCACATCCCACTTTTCACCTGGACTAAGCCCATCAAACCAGAAGAAGATGCAAAGGGTGTTCGTGCTGCTGAGAATCCCTCGGAATGGTCCAGACTATGCGCCACCACGGACGAGTCGCAAGTTATTTCTTGCCTAGCTAATATCTCCTTTCTCACTTGGACCCTGCACGTCCCGTCCTCACCGTCCATTGCGCCCGGCAACGACTCCAAGGACAAGTCAAAGCGCCATAACCACTATCAAGATCCACCATGGGGTTCATAGCTCCCTGCGGGCTGCATATATGGGATTTTCACCTTGCCAACCCCTCGGATTGAACGCTTTTCGGAGCCCAATCACCCTGTGGTCTCTTCACGACTGGAATACACCACGGCTCTGTCAACACTGTCCTCTTGTTCAACTTTAGCCCTCTAGGATTTCCTTCTCTACTTAATCCTGGTGTGACCACGAATTCAGGTTTGCCTACGGAGGCTTCCCCTTCACTGCTCGGATTCATGTCCTTGATGGCGGTAGGGCCGAGTGGTGTCTGTACGCCGAGGAGGCTAGGCAGGAACAGGCGTACTCGGCAGCGCTCAACAGACACGAGGAGGACGAATTCGACCGCTTGGGTGAGTAATTTGTTGATAGCCCTGTTGTATCCGCCGTCAAGGGTACTCAAGGATGAGGCAAAAATCATGGCGGGCGTCGAGTGAATGGTTGAGATGTTATTCTGATGGCTGGTCTGGATCTCGCGGTCCTGAGCATTCGAGTCGTTGGGCAATTCTAAAGCACGTCTGAGATGCTCGACGGTAGGGTAACGCCATATTTCAGCTAGGAGATCTGCTGTTGGCAAATGGAGGGGTTCGTTATCGCTGTTGCTGCTGGCAAGACCGCTTAACACCGTCCCGATTTGTTAGCACCAATTTCAATTGTCCATTGCTCTTTCTGTGCGTCCTGGAAAACTAACCATGTTGGCTACCATACAATGTTCTCCAGTTTGCGTCAACGGGATCACCATGTGCTGCGAATACGCGAAACGGGGTGCAAAAGATATACCTTCCCAAACAAAGGTCCATAAGGCATTATGAAGCAGGTATCTGCGGATTCTTTGTTCGCTCCTTGGAGGTATTTGGGCGTTGATGTTAGCCTGAGCCCGTTGCATAAAATCGGACGCTGGTGAGAGTCGAGAGGGGGCTGAATGTCACTTCTGAGTTCGTAAAATTGATCCGTGAGCTCGGTATCCCGAAATGCTTGGGAATTATGGATACTCCTGCGCATGACTTCCTGTACTTTGTGCGTTCTGTGTATTAGACCTCGAATCTCCGATGAGTGCTCCAACTTCAAGTTTGGGATCTCCTCTGCCAGCAGCTTAAGATCACTTTCGCGGCGCTCGTTCAATTGATCAAGTTTCTTCTTTGTAGAGATGGTTGATGAGATGTATCTCTTCGCTGTGGCCCTGTTGTTGGGTCGAGATCGCGATTTAGTGCTGCTCGTGTCAATCAATGAGGTCCTGCTTGTAAACTGCTTCCAGCTTGTCAAACTCACTTCTCTCAACTGCGAATTGAGATTTCACCTCAATTATGCTCTACCCGAATACAGAAATTTTGATCTTCTGCGTAAACTTGACCGACTGAAGCTTTTGGAACCTGACGGGTCTGTGCGGCAATTTTTCCATTAAGATAATCCAGTTGAGAGTCAGGCCGCCCCAAGACTTCGGTCAACATCGCGTCTGCTGAAATAGACGAATCAATAGCGACTTACTCTGCACGAAGACAATCCCGAAGCATTTGCCGGACATCTACGAGCTCCTCTGATGCGGCTGCTTTACAACTTCACTGTCCTTGGGCTACGGATTTTCACTGATGACTACCCTCCTGGCGGAATTTCCTCCAGAATTCTCATGATCAGAGGGACTGGTCTTGCCGAACCACAGAAATCTGATCATTGTTCATCGAACAGCAGTTGTGAAAGGCGAGTAGATGCAGGATCTCAGCCTGATTTGAGGAAGAGTTTCTGAGTTTGGCTGCTGATAAAACAGGAGAATTGTATGAGAATGATACTTGTTTTGATGGGTTTGGCGTAGGACAACGCAGCGGGATGGACACTAAACTGGGAGAGCCACAAAGGCTAGATACCTCGACGGACGAGAGGAGAGAAAAGCACAGGTCTAGGTTTGACCTCGACATGATTGCAGCTGACCTCCAGCCCACCACTTTTGAGGCACATGCCAGTACAAAAACGTTGGTTATTACCTAGATACCGAGACAAGTAATTCAACTGTTCGAGGTATAGTATGGAGTATCTAGGTAAAATGACAGGGCTGTAAAGATGTGGAGTCCGGCAGGGCAGACTTGCTAAGACGCTAATGCCTGCAACGGCGTCCTGAACGATCTTTCCAGCTGCGTGACAGCCACCAGAAAACGAAGACGACGCTCATCGGACAATAATGCTGCCATGCCTCTAGCACATGAATCTCAAATTAGAATGCCCATGTAGGCTGTATCTCTCTTCGGGAAGAGAGCAGTGTCCCGTGTTGGTCTCGTATACACAAAACCAGGAGAATGACAGGGGCGGCGACTTCTGATGATCAGTATTACAAGCCAATCACACGATAAACATACATATTTTCCCATCCATTGGAGTTTGAAAGTAGATTTCCAAGGTTTGACGCTTTCACCAGAAACATACCTTTGTATTTGGTCTCTCTCCGTCCCTAGGCTCTATAGCCCAGGATATGGCGAGGCTCGACACCACTGTTCGCACTTACTCCGGTTGACTGCAAATACATATCGTCCAACTCGTTGTGTGGCCTGATCGGCACTTTGGGTCGAAGTCTGTTGCTTTTTTCACGATGGCAGTCAGTGCAAGTCGAATTATCATTGGTCTTAACTACGGCACAACCTACTCCAGTGTGTTTTCCAAACACTCGATTCTCCTCGGCAATGGGTACTGAGTGAAATAGGCGTTTCATTGGCAACGGTTGCACACAATCAGCACGATATCAATCTCAATAATGATGATGAGGATGTTATTGGACTTGGAGGGATTCGAGATGTCTTGAGTTGGCCGGGGCTGGCGGGCACGGCCGCTCCCAAAGCTCCAAGCGTCATCTCTTATGATACGGCTGAAGGTAGGGAATCGCAATGGGGCTGCGGGATCATTAAAAGAGCAATCAAGGAAATTTGGACAAAATTCTAACTCGAAGACAAGGACCGGCCACACGAGCTTGATCTGGGCTTGAAAGTTCTCGACGTTATGGCGGACTTGGATCTCATATGTCACCTAGGATGCTCACATAAACCACAGGAGTGGACCGACTCCGCGATATCGATGACCTTTCGAGCCATCACAGCTTCAGGTTTCAGTAAGAACTATTTTCCGAGATTTAACAATATCATACTGGTCTCCGAGCCGGAAGCCGCAGCTCTTTTTGTCATCAAATCGATCCAGCAAGTTGGTGACCGTCTGTCGCTGAGAGTGAGTTTCCTCGTGTTCAAGACGGAGGAAGGGGCTGATGCTTAAAGACTGGGGACTGTTTCGTTCAATGCGACACAGGTGGTGAGACTACGGTCCGCAGTCACATCGGCTCGACAATCATTCGATTGACTAGACGTGCTGCAGGGCGTGGCCTCTTTTCAGGTCAAACAAGTTGTTGCGGATCTGATCTTTGAGCATATTGGCCTAGGACTCCATTAGTGGCGTCTAATCAGGTGGGGTATCGTGAGTATTGCCTATGGCACAGCAGGCAAGAAGTGCGAGGTCACCTTTGTCAATTAACAGTTCCTCGATATACTGCGAAGGAAGACTGGCGCTGAGAATTTTCAGATACTGAAAAGGAGGTCACGGCTGATTGACATTTGTGGTCACACTACCTGGAGTCCCAAACTTTCCGAACTTAAGGGAGAGCACTGGGACCCCTTAAAGAAGGCTTTCGCTGGTGAAGTCAACTTCAACAGGTTGATCCAGTTAACACGAAGTCTAACTCAACCGGAAATTCCAGTACATGGCATTATAGAGGAAGAGGTTCCAATGACAGCGTCCAAACGTCTTTCTCGCTCAAGCAAGGATACCGCTTACGCTAGCGCAGCGATGATCTTCGAGGGCTTTCGATTTTTCTATGCGAAATGCCACCAAGTTGGTCATGCGCCAGATTAGCCAAGTCGAGCGTTTGGGCAGCCAAGTCAAAGTAGGTATCGCAACCTTCCAGTCAGAGAGGCTCTCTACGTTGTGCTATGCTAACGAGAACAACTTGTTACCTAACCAGGAGGATTCGCTTGTTCAGGCTATTGATATAACGTGATCAGCATATATATACTCCGAACTCAAGGCATACCAATCAGAAGACCCGTGAAGAAGTATGGAGACCCGTCTACCAAGCTCCCTAGTTTGCTCACATGCAATATTTTAGACACAACTATTGGCCCGCAGTTGCCAAGGAGCCGTCTGATATAGCCTTCAATATGACACTTCACGGTTTGTCTATACGCGCATATGTCGGCGGAACAATGGTGGGAAAACGGCGCAACCATTCACCCTGTTCAAACACAGCGGGAAACGACGTACCAAGATCCTTTTGATGGGGAGACCAAAGCAGAAATCAGATGACATGGCTCGTTAGGAAGGGCGATCTGATTCTATCAAACAAAAGCAATTATTCGTCTATCCAGATAGGTCGCCAGGTTAGCAGCGATGACAGCAGGTGCTTTTGCATTTATTTAATGGCAAACGGTGATGACAAAGCCCCTGAAGGACGCTTGCACAATGGTACGCACACCCTTTGCTGCGGCTATCCCGACAGTTTGAGGAATAAGCTGACATCTTCTCAGAAATTTACAAAGTCGCCATGATGAAGTATAATCTTGGAAGTGCCCCGAACGAAGAGTTTGAAAGGAGAAGAATGCCGGGCTCCAGGAAATCGTACTGTCTGGCCAATCTCACACTCCATCTCATGATCAAGGATGATGTGCGATTCTGGATCACCTTCAAAGAAAGCGAGTTTGATACGGTAACGACTACATACTCTTGAAAATGGCTAGCTTTTGTAAGACAGCCTAACGCGAAGATCGACAACATAAAGTGCAGCTGTGGGACTCTCATCCCCAGGTTAATCTTTGAAAACAGCGCTGGCCTGTAATCTATCATCCTGTTAGCTGTATCTAGCACAGTGACCACTGAATTCATCGAGCACCCTTGTCCTACATCTTATAATGTATATTATGTCTCAGACTGGCCACTTGTTTTTGGTCCTGTGTCGCGCGGCCTGGTCCGCCTCTGGGCCTGGTCCCCGTGTAAGTCGACGACTACCACGTTCATATACAGTTGCTGGTCCCAGGCCCCAGGAAAGAGCATAGAAACATCGAATCTGACCACAGACGGCATTGAAACAGGTGTCAAATATGAAATTATATGCCGTTGTCACGACGACCCATCACGCTGGAGCCTTCTTCCGCCTCTCTGGCTAGTGCTGTGTCTAGGCCGCTGCATTCAAGCCCTTTTGCTGCGAAGTTCTCAACATGGTACGAGGAAGTTTCACCCGCATGCAAGCCTCATATGTACTTCGTAACCTCTTTAGGCAGTCTGGCTAATGCGTTAAAGCCATATAGTCGAAATGTGGGTCCTAGACAACTAGAAATGGCCCCTCGAAGTCCTATTACTTGTCCTATCGAGCGGCCAAACAACTGGACACTTGATCACAAAGTGTATTCTCTATTTAGCTACTGGGCGCTAGGCTGGCATCCTGAGAATGCAAACCAGCTCATGTGACTACACGTCGGTTTCTTTCTGGTTAGCTGTCCCGACCCTGCCGAGGATTCAAGGTGCCTTACCTTGAATATGAAGTCAGGCAACTTTGGGACATAGCAGCTACACACGGGACCTTGAACATCGTCTAAGAACAAGAGCGGGCTTTTTGATTTCGAATCACATAATCATTTACACGAATTAACCGACTTCGTGGAATTTTAAAGAATGGTCTTGGAATGGTATTCCTGAACGATTCGAATATCGTCCTCAAGGACAGCCACGCAACCAATCAATGCAACTACGTCATCATGGCGGCTCGGACCTCTCGCGTCAAAATGGGTCTCTGTCCTTAGCCTGCCAAACATTACGTTGGTCAATGGGATATCATTACAACGGTACAGCTACCAGCGTAAGTGACACCATCATTGCCCAAAGGAAAGATGTCAGGGACGTAGGAGCACTACCAATCAACACCTTGTCATCATCATCATTTCCATCGTCGTCAAACTTGCCCTTCTGGCCCTTCCAAGTTACAGATACATCCGACGACTGCCCCTCGGGAATGACACGCGCTTCGACATGGACAGAACTCATTCACGCATGAGTGAATTTGCATTTGAGCAGGTTTTTGAACGGGACATATTCGCTGCGTTGACCACCACCGGTTTCCTTCTCATCAAGAAACCAAGGACTGAGTCCCTGGAAGCAAAGTCGACACCAGTGAGATTCGAGACTGCCAGAGCATGATTCGCAAGATATATGGACTAAGGGTGGACGTTTCCAACGCGGCAGATGTCAACCCGGCTGGTCAAGAGATTGTCGCGAATTGCAGGAAGGAAACCACTGCAGGCCTTAAGGGATGTCCAACGCATCGTGGACAGGTGGGCTCAACAACAGCACTGGTCAGCTGAGGACAGAGCCAAAGTTGATACGATTCGTCAGAGGATACTGGCTGTCCAACTTGATCGTGGTTGAAAAGGGTGATGCCAGCTAATATTATTTCGTTGCCCAATGTGGTATGGTCTAGTCGGTGAAGTTGTGGACCAATGATCTGGTCTCTGGAACCAATCTACGGGATTTGGACCAGTGTCGAAGGAGTTTCCTCAGCCGTGAATACAATCTAGATGATTGTCCCTCACTTTCAGTGTATTTCCTCCTGAATCGCATCCTTCGGGGAAATTCCAAAAGCCGTCTCGGAGGCTCACCAGAGCCAGGGACTGAATGAGGCAAAGATGAGACTATAAGTAGCATCCATAGAGAGTCCCGTGTCAAATTATCCGCAAAAGTAACTTCTTACTAGGCGATTTAGGAGACAGGAGAATTTTCAGGCGGTGTAGCTCTCGTTGTAAGAAATCAACCACCTGTTCCAACTGGCAAAAGCATTAGCGAAGAACCCCATACAAAATTGGATGGAGTAGAAAGCTGCCTCAAATTTCTTCTGCGGCCGTGCAAAGCTGTTCCGTATCTTCTGGTCCGCAAGCTGAACTTGGCAAAATCACGGCATCGCTTGAATAAGAAGAAAAAGCCACATACTGTGGACGACCAAGAAAGCGGGTTGATCACTCTAATCAAGGACCACCCCGACAAACCTGTTGCGGTTCTGCCATAAGCACACGGACTTACTAGGCTCACCGCGAGATCTCAGCTTGTGGGCGAGCTCAGTGTTGACCTAGCTCAAGGCCCCAGTATCTTGAGGTACCGGGAGGTCATTGCCGCTCTGCCATATGTCAACCTATCCGCTGTATCCCAAGGTCTGCTCGCACACCGATTCTTCTCTCTGAGGGAAACCCCAGTAATTTCCTCCACAACCTTCTCGAATTCTTCTCGGTCGGGGACCCTGCTACACTGTACGATCTGTTCCCTCTGGTTCTCTGGACACTCTCCTCGACAGACTCTGCATCGATTTCGTCGCACAGTTGGAAGGGTTCACAGAGCAATGCCAGGGGGAAGCCGCATATAGTGCCGTTGGCTCACTACAGAGAGCATACGGTGTTTCACAGGCGCTGAATATACTTCCCAATCGAACAATCAGGAACCGGAGAGTATAGACTTTGTGGGCCCCGGCTCATCACCGCCTGCTTGACTGCGATAAACTCGGCTTCGACTTTAGGAACAAATTCCTTGATGTGCTTGCGTTGGAGGAACCCGATTTCGTTTATGAGCGCCACGGATCTCTTTCGCACGCTTTCTGTACGAAGCAGCAAGTCAGGATATGGATTAGATCCGCCGCGGTCGATTCTGAGTCCCATTGGGTGATGACTCTGGAATCGACGGTCGCACATTCCTGACCCGTACTCTAGACTTCCGCTACGGCAAGCGTCAGACTACACCTAGCGCTCTAGATATGTTTATTCTTCTTTGCATCCGCAATATAGTTGATCACAATACTCTTCGGATTCTGCAGGAGGCTGCCTCATTAAGAGAGCCCCAAATATATCAGAGGATTTCTGACATTTTCTTGTCATCCAAGCGTTCCGCCCGCACTCCTGCAATTTTAAAGTTGCTGAAATTGATACACAAAAGTGGCAACCATTGTCTGCTCGAGTGCCTGTCCCGATATATCAGGGATGCAGGCCAAGAAGAAGACTTCACGAACACGCACATCAGATTGATCGATTTGATGGAAAACCAAAGCCAGAGGATCCCTCAGCTAGCGGGATCTCAACTACAGAGTCTAGGCTAGAGTCTCAACGAATCTCCTGCACTGGGCAGTACTCTCTACCAGCAAATCCAACTATTGCTTCGGGAATGGCTGCTAGTACTCAGTACATATATGTTCTCAGTCTGACAAAAACCCCCTTAAAGCGGCCAGTCCGTCCCGCAAATCACGAGGCTGAGAAGCCGGCGAATGCGGCGAGCCTTACGGAGCACATACGTACCCCATGCAAATGCCACTTACTATTGATCCATTGACGCTCATTGCGCTCCCAACTTGATCTTCATGCTTGCTTTGACAGTTGTTCCCCTATCCACCTTGCCGGCGGCCAACAATCAATTTAACCTTCATCAAACCACTTCTAGTCCTAAACATTCCTTCGGATAGCCTCTGCTGACACGTCTCTTGTCCACTCCCATGACCTCATCCTGAGCCTTGCTTGCGACTCCCCTTGACCCGCAACCAGCATCTGACGAGAATGGCTCCCTCTCCTACGATCCGACGCCTCCTCAAAGAGACTGCCGAACTCTCCTCTCCTTCTTCCAATCCCAATCCCGCTTTCTTCGCGGGCCCTGTCTCCGATTCCGACCTGCATGAATGGCATTTCACCCTCCTGGGTCCTCCGTCGCCCTCTCCATACGCCGGGGGAATGTACCACGGCCGCATCACACTACCCGCCACGTACCCGCTGAAACCGCCGAATTTTAGATTTCTGACGCCGTCGGGAAGGTTTGAGGTGAACCGCGAGATTTGCCTGAGTATATCCGGGTTTCACGAAGAGACGTGGATGCCTGCCTGGGGCGTACGGACTGCATTGACAGCTCTTCGGACGTTCATGGCGGAAAAGGGCTCAGCAGGCCAAGTCGGAGGGCTGGAAGCGCCTGCGGACGTGAGGAAGAGACTCGCGAAGGAGAGTCGGAGCTGGAGATGTGAGGCATGCAAGAAAACGAATGAGGCCATTATGCGCGAGTGGTGGGATGTTTGTCGGGAAGCCGGGGTCAACGTCTCGGCAGACGAGGATCTAGGATTAGAGAGTCTGCCAGAGGGAATGATGCTGGAGGCGAGGGATCCGAATGCCCAGGCTAATGCTTCGTCGCACGCGACGGTCGCCACGAGCAAAGGGAGAGATGCTGGTGCACAGGAAGCGCCGGACGTGACGGCGACGGTTCCACAAGAACGGCGGCAACGATCCTCTACAAATCCAAAACCCAGTCCGTCTACTCCATCGGCATCAGTCCCGCCATCCCAGCAACCTCGACCTCCCTCATCAACACACTCATCACGATCGAACTCGTCCAACCTCCAGGCGCAGAGATGCATTCCCATGATCCCTACTCCCTCAGCGGAAGCCGCCCAAGCCTCTGCCGAAGCGATCCTCACCCCCGGCGACTTCGTTCAGCCGCCGAACGGCTCCACGACATCCAACCCAGCCTCTGCTACCGCAACCCATCGACGACCATTTTTCTCAGGCCTGCACAACCCCCCGCTAGCCGCCGCAAATGCAGCGATTGCGCAGAGCGCTCGGCCTTTGACTCTCCAGCGTGACCGAGAAAGGGATAGAGAGCCGACAATCACGATCGACCGGGCGATCGCGGGCGTATTTCTCGCGCTGTGTCTGATGGTGCTAAAAAAGATCTTCTATCCAGCTGGGGGACCGGGGGGCCGGTATAATGGTGTGGACGAGTTTTATCTCCAGCGAGAGTAAGGGTCCATTTCGTCCGCTTGCTGATGGACACATACTTGGATGCGCATAATTGGAGCTTTGGAACATGTCGGGATCCTGGGATCTTTCTTGGGACCCGGATTATGACCATGATGATGTGGGGTGGTACAGTATCAGGTCAAAGGGCAAGAGCAAGAACAGACTTGCTTCTTGGATTGTCTGCAAGTGTTTTGGCTTTCGAGCACGCAAACAAAGCGAGCAAGCAAGCAGCCTAGATAGAAAGCTCAGCAGATTCCGAGACTAGGGCTCGGATACCTTTTTGTATATATACTGTATGACATTGTAGGAATTCGATGGCCCACGAATTGGAGAGGACGTTCATTTTTCGTCCCTCTTCACGTCAACCCCTTTCTTTGTTGACCTTTGGTCCTGTGCTTTTCTGTGTCGACCTCCCATTGCCGTTCGGAGAGGGTATCATATGGCTGGTGCTGAACAGTTTGGTTCTTCAATCACTCGAAAAAGGACCGGTTTCTCTGGCCGCCTGTTTCATTTTTTTTTTTTTTTTGCCTCGCTACAGAATGGGCTATCCAATATACATATCCTATCCAATCCAATCCAACCGATGTCAGGAGTCCTGTCTTGTCCCGCATTGCGCCTGTGATTGATCCTTTGATACATAGCCACAACCGAACCCCTCCGTGTACGCATGGGTCGTGTATGTATCCAAAGGGATCGAGCGACTCGTAGTAGCCCGGACGAGGTTGCCTGAATAAATACACAAGATGAACACCTTGACCATCTTGTGTCCAGCTCATCTTACTCTGCCTGCACGGTTCCTCCTGATCCAACCCCTCTCCGCGTCATCTTCGTCCTCTCCAATGTCATATCCAACATCCGAGTCGCTGGCTTCATCAGCACTACTGACTTCGAAAGGTTCGTTTTGGTCAAAGTCCCTCTTTTGTCTTCTCTTGCTTTGATCCGTCGTCGAGGACAAGTTGATTTGATTTGGAGGTAGATGCTTCATGGACATGTCGCTGCGGGAATACATGTCGTCGTTCCCAACCCGTGGCACGGTAGTTTCGTGGGTTTCGTTATGATTATTGACATAATCGCGGTCTCGGTCCCGCTCATACCGTTGATACGCATACTCATGATCGCCGCTTCCATCCATAGCTCCTGCATTATGATTATGATCCATCATCGCCGCCAGCCTTTGCTCTTTTCTCTTCGCCGCTTCCTCCTGGGCGGCGATCCATTTCGGGCTGACTTCCCACCGCCATCCATCACCCACTGTATTGCATATTGGCAAAGCCCAGAGTAACCGATTAGGTCCGAACAAGTGACTAAGATTCTGACGCCAGCCAAGATCGAATGCATTAGGCATTTTCTCGGACTCTTGGTCTTCTAGATATTGTGCATATCTTTCACGCTCGCGAGTGGCTTCCATATGGGAGTAAGTCCTTCGCAATGCACGAATGGCGGGCGTGTCGTTGGAATTGGCGTGATGGTGGTGATCATCGGCGGACAGACCTTGACCCTGAGAATATGGGGCTCCATGATGTGTTGTGTTATAGACACTCGGGACGGGCGAAGTATGTTCTTCACCTTCCTCGTACCGTAACGCCCCAGGGACGGCATTGGCGTTCCATTCAAGAAACTGCTCCCCGGCTCGCTGCAACCTTCCAGCAACACCTTCGGAGCTGCGTCTCCTATGGTTCAATCGCTGCTCCTGGCGATTTCGTTCCACGAGAGTTCTGACACCACTCAGATATCTCGTCTTCTCGAGCCTTTCAATGGTAGTTTGGCCCTTCACGCAGAGATAGATGTGCCAACCGGTGAACGCACTCAGTACCAGACCGATGATCCCGGCAATGACGGAAAGGAGTATAATGTTGACAGGTGCCACTTCGTCGAGGTAGCCGCTTTGCTCGAACAATTCCTTCCACATCCACCATGCTGCGTTGATAAAACATACCCAACAGAACAGAGACGTATAGATGAGGAAGAGTACAAAGGCTTTGTAGTTCCGCAGGCCCAGGCAGGTGGACAGCCATGGGCAGTGATGGTCCATCTTCAACACACATCTTTTGCAAGTAGAGCAATGATGCGTCCGGTCAGGCTTCGGAGTATGGCACTTTTTGCAGAATCTGGGCGCACCCGTCGACGAAACCGTGATGGCCTGGATCTGGCTTACGTCGGTATGAGGTTCATGAGTAGGAAGTATTGAGTATCTCCCCTGACTCCTGTCTGAGGACTTCGCCGGAGATTTCAAGGGCGAGCCGGGATCCGTAAAGGCGGCGACCGTATATGACCAGTTCGCCAATGCGTAAAGGGTGATTCCCAACAATGAGATGGCTTGTATCAACCACCAGACATGTTTTGATCTGTGAGATCCAAAGCCAATCGATGCCACCACCCATACAGCCCATGTTGTTATACTATACACAAAAGCAAGAGGGAAGAAAGTGGCTATGGCGCAGCAGGCACGCTCGCATGTCCGGGCGCATGATCGTAAGCGGCGGCGCGAAGGAGTTGGAGGAGGTGAGGAGGACGGACTCGAGTAACGGGGCATGGGAAGACGCGAGGTGGAAAAGATCTATATCAGCGCTGATCGGAGGAGTCGTCGGCGTGCAATCACTCAGGCGGTCGAGTCCAGTGTCGCTGACGAGGGATCATCTCGAGGGAGTCGACTGCATGGTTGCGGCAAGGGAGTGAGGTGAGCAATTCTTTATCCAGGTACGCAGGCTCATGAATCTATAGAAAATAAAAAGAATGGGATTAGAGCCCTCTGTAGTGTCAATGTTGAGGGACTGGGCATACAATACGTGAGGGATGCTTTTACTACTCGGTGTTGACAACAAGAGAAATTCGAAACGGTGCAGGTCAATTCTGGCAGCGGAGTGACGGAGTGACGCGGGCTCAAGGCTCCTGCTCAGCCTTACTCGGCCTCGTGCAGCCTTGTGCTCTCTGCAGTAACATGTTCCGCAGCCTCCACCGTCAGCCTCGCCGCCTCTTCGACCCTCCCATTCCTCCGATATCTTCAGTAATTGCAAAATGTGTAAGCGAGCCACTCGTGTATGAGAGTGCTGATGTTGCATTTCTGTGTCTAAAAGAATGTGGTCATAGTTGGACATCTCATGCAATTCCGCCATGTATTCCGATGCAACCGGTCTCCGCCAACACCACCTGGTTGCTTCTCTAGTCCTTCAATAGGACCCCGTTGCAATTTGCCTCAGCGTCTGCCCATCTTCAGCCCGACTTCACTGGTCCTGTGTTTGCATTCTCCTCCTTCTTTTCTGGATCAACTGGCTCTCTAACCATTACATCCATTCTCAGCTCCTTGCCCGCAGCGCGTTGCAAGTAAATGTTCTTGCGAAGCTCAAAGCCCAACTTGCCATAGATGATGATATTGATATCATGAGAGCTCTCCAGGTAGCAGGGCAGCCCTTCAGCGTCAGCCTGTTCAAGTTAGCCTAGGAATCAGGAAATCTTCAGTGTGCAACCCTTACCATCTTCGTAACATGTTCAATCAGCTTCCGGGCATAACCACGGCCACGTGCCTCAGGTTTGGTACCGATATAGTTCAGATACCAGGAGTTGTTGTCCCTCTCTCCCAAAATTTCCTGCTTAGTATGGTGCAACAGGGGCAGGAACTCATCGAAGAACCGCACCTTTCCTTCCTTGGACAGCTTCCAGCTCAATCGCCACATGCCGCTGCGGAGGATGGTGAACCAGTCATCAATATTCTTGCCTGGTGGCAACCACAAAGCAACGCAATCGAAGTTCTCGCCAACCGTCAAAACCAATCCCTGGAGGCAGTGAGCATAAGTGACATACTCCATGGAGGCTTTGTGTAATTCGAAGCGCTCCTCTTCGGACAGATGCATGCGGTCCGGGGTATCGATGGCGTAGCGGACGATGTTGTCGAGTCGAAACGCCTCAGCCAGACATGCAGCGGCCTGTTTGTACTCGTGGGGAGCGACGACGCGAACTTCGTCTTTGTTCGCGGCGGTCAGGACGACCTTTGCAGCGGTCGGAGTCGGTTTCTCGTGGATGATGGCAGCGTCCAGAATCGGGACAGCAGCACTAGGAAGAGCCATACTGAATGGATTTGTATTTAGCAGCTTCTAGTATTTGACTCTTTCTTTTCTTTTGGTCCTTTCTTTTACTTTAGTCGAAAGGTCAAACATAGTCGGTCAACCTACTCTTGGATTAACCTCGATCAATGGGTCTTGTAGAATGGCCTGTATGCTCGGAACACAGCTGAGCAGTAGAGACAGTATTGCTTCTAAATGGGAAGCGGAGGCTAGGACAAGATGTGCGTAGATCAACCGACATCAGCGTACGATACGTCTGAGGGGTTAAACTTTGCAGAAGAGACGTAGAGATGAATGACTAGGAGAGCAGTATAGATAGTTCTGTTTGATCTTGCGGGTTGCACAAGCGTTTGATGCGTGGCACGACGGGTCGATGGTCGAGCTGAGTATTGAACGTGAGAGCCCTGCCAACGGTTGCTTAGCTTCAAGGTCACGACAGGCAACTGATATGCCGAAATCGACACTTCAGTGATCTTGTACGAGTCCTCGAGGCTGGGAGCAAAGCAGAAGAAGGGCCGAGGTGTCTCCTGGGGAGGAGGACGTGAGTTTATCAACCTGCAAGCTTCCTGGGTGCCACTTGGCGGGAAGGATGTGGTGAGAAGCCAATGGCTAGGGTAGGACGAGGAGGTTAAAGTCGACGTAATTCAGTCAGCACCCACGGCTTGTCGGATTGCTGGAATCAATAGCAATGGCGACTCCCCACGCTATTAATTGTTGGATTGCAGGCCAGACGCTTCACATCAGCAGCTGTGGATGTCAGTCGGTGCCAGGTCTCCCTTCTTGCGGCAGCACGTCTGTACGGTGCTTTGTATCAGCTCCACCCTGTAACCAGTGAGTGGAGGACAAAGGACATGAGCGAGGAGAAAGGGTCACGGGGTCCAACGCTTCGACATGCTCGTTGAGGTTTAGGCAGGAAACTGGGTTGCAGACGGAGTGAGGCGAAAGTTGGGGGCATCCAGGGGCCATGATTGGCTCACCGTCTCGTTCCTTCTTGATCCGAGAGAGCATGGTCCAGGGGATGAGTGGTCAGCCTCCGTGGGATATTTATTGAACTTGATCTTTTCCGCGAACCCGCCCTTGTGACCACCACTCAATTGGGTATAGATGGGCGGTCGAATCGAGCACTGGGTCGGTGGGATAGGAGGCAAAGGATTTGCGCGTATCGAACAAACTTACCGGTAGGGCCCGATGGTATATATATGTCTGTATCTATCATGGCCACCTTGCGAAGAAGATACCGCAAAGGTGCGGTCTGACGCATAGAGGGAACGGCACGCCGCACCACAGGCGACATCGAAGTGCTGAACAAACAATGACCCAGTTGCCGCTGTTCCGACAGGGCCAGCCAGAACGATATGGAGATGGGGGAGCCCACAGCAGCCATAGATAAGATAACCTCCATTTTATAACAAATAAATATCTCCTTCGATAGTAACTCGTCAGTCTTGTATATATTTATTGGATAGACTTGGCACCCCGGTGGAGGTCGAAAACTGAGGATATAAGAGGTCCGACCCAGAGATTGGCCGATATATCCTCTGCATTTTCATGTTCTTGACCTTCTGTGGATGATGCCGTAGATAGTGCCAGCCTGGATCTGGAAAGAGGATACAACACGGTGAGCGACGGTTGAGCAGCGCGATGATTAAATACTCTGCAACAGTCCTGATGCAAGGGAGTGAGACCTGTGGACTAACAACAAAGTGGGTGATTTTGAGCGTTGTGATGAGATTTGGCTCCACGGTTGAGGTCAGTATTGAGTCGACTGGCCTCTGGCCATTAGGCCCAGTTGCCTCACTTGATCTCGACGTGGATGGCTTCGACATCATGCTTATGGGAGGCTACTCCAACATCCTCAATTCCGCTGAAGTCGGTCATTCCGAACAATTCATCCATTCGCTCCAAAGAGATCTTGCCATATTGTTAGCGCTCAGGAGCCCGAAGAGCACATTGGGAAGGCGGCCACTTACCCCTTTGGTCTCGGGCACCAAGAAATATGCTCCTACCGCGATGGTGAAGCAGAAACAGCCGTATATAAAGTATGTGCCATACCCGCCCGCGCCCACAGTATCCAGCATAACGGGGGTAGCCCGAGCAACGGCCAAGTTGAAAACCCATTGCGTTGCCGCAGCATACGATACGATTAATCCTCGGAGTCGTTGAGTGCTAATTTCCGAGGAATAGATCCCTGTGGAGAAGTTTTAGCATAACCCACGGCCTGTTAAGACAGTAGACTTACAACAAACAGGGCCCCAGCCAAATTGAAAGGCTGCAGCATAGAGATAGACCATGACCAACGCCGCATATCCCGCGCCGGATATGGGAGCACCTTTCTTCGGGGCGTCAAACCGGACGAAAAAGCCCAAGTAGAACATACAGAACCACATGAATAGTCCCGTCCAGACCAAGGACCATCTGCGACCAAGAGTATCGGCAAGGAAAGTGATGAAGATGGCGCAGGAGCTCATCTTAACAATGCCGTAAACCCCAGTAGCGAACAGGCTCTGTGTGTTTCCGGTCACGCCGAGATCGGTGAAGATGGTTGGGGCGTAATAGTTCTGCAATCGCGTTAGCCTGCCCCGGTCGTATTGGTAGACCCAAAACACCTACGATGGCATTAGTTCCAGTCCATTGTTGGGCAGTCATGAGTGCGATCGCCATGATAGATCGTCTGCGATTGCCGGGGATTGTCCACGCTTCCTTTGTCAATGCCCAGTAACTGTTGCCACCGGCACGACCCCTCTCAGCTTCCAACTGAGTCTGCATTTCGAGAAGCTCAGCTTGGACGTAGGGATGTGTAGGTGGTAGATTCCGAACTTTCGCAAGAATTCTGGAGGCATCATCCCAGTTGTCTTGGGAAGCAAGCCACCGAGGGCTCTCGGGACAGAATAAGATGGAGATGAAGAGGAGGAATGGAGGCAGGGACTGCATCGACAGAGGGACTATCCAGGTAGCATGGCCTTTCAAGTGAAGAAGGCTGCCATAGTTGATGAAAAAAGCCACCATGGCACCCATGGTTTCGAAAAGTTGATAGAATCCGACGAGCAGACCTCGAATACCACGGGGCGCATTCTCAGCAACGTAGGTAGGTGCGACCATGGTGGCTCCGCCGAGACCCAAACCTTCAACGAATCTGATACTGTTAGTTTCCAGCGCCAATTGGTAGAGCCTCCATTGCCGACGTACCGTCCAATGTAGAAGCAGGATAAATGCCCGTATGAGAGGGCCTGAAGAAGACCACCGACGAAAGCGAACGACGCAACAGTATAAATGGTAATCTTTCGACCCCATTTGTCGGCCAATGGATTGGCAGCGAGGGCACCGACGATGGCCCCTGCTTGCATGACCGATACCAAGTTGGCTGAGAGATTGGACTGGGCGATCTTCGACTTGTGTGTGAGTCCGAATTCGCTTGCAACATGTCAGTTGTCATCACAGCAAGTTGTAGAGGGCATTTCTATACTCTTTGAAATCGGGTAATGTCAAAACCCCTCCAATGATACCAATATCCATGCCAAAGAGTGTCCCTCCAAAACAAGCCTGGTTGATCTCAGTAAGAATCATTTGACCGTGTACAACTGTCATGACTTACGGCTGCCGCCAAAGCGAAAACTCTCCAGTTGTAGACCTCTGGAGGGTCCAACTTGACCGCATCATTGTGGACGATTCTTCTGAGGAACGACATAGCAGCCAGATGAAAGGTGGTGTCCGGATAGTCCGAGTAGCTGAGCAGTCAAGGCTGGAGGACAGGACGAGCGCGGGCGCGAGGAGGACAGGATTAAATGGCACCCTCGATCGGCATTCTCAAGCTGCCACATGTTGGACAAGGATTCTCTTCAAGCGGAGGGACAGTGTCGATTCACTGCCGTGTCAGCGGATCTCCATCTCTACCTGGGGAGAGACACTGGAGACTCCATAGCACATGGGGCAAAAACAACGGGTCTTTGCACCGAGCGTGCCCTGATGGATTGATAGAGGCCGGGCATTTGCCAGATGTCGAATGGTTCAGCCGTTGGAGCGCCACCTAGTCGCGAACACCAGTCTAGATGAAGACAAGATGTGCAAGCATTGACAAGCATTGGACGTCGTATGGTAGAGTGCCGGCCTGCTGTAACGTTCTGTCGCCACTCTGGGTGAGCTGTAGGTGTCATTAAACTGCGGGGATAGGCTGGGCAACGAGCTGTCTCCAAGACCGGTCGGCGTTTTCAGCCTGAAATCAGGTTGTTGCAGATGTGATTCTGGGGGAGCTGGAAGGAGCTGGGGGGATACGGAATCCCTTCACCAGTTCCAACACGGATGTGATGCGGAGAGAGGCCGGAAAGATGCTTAACTCGAGGTCGACACTCCACCTGGGGTACAGGCAGTACGGGACGACGGCAATCCATCCGCAAATTCTGGATAATTTGTGGTTAAATGGCGAAGGCTGGGGCAAAGCAGGATGTCCAACGATTCCATCAGCCTTCGGTACAATCATCTGCCGAGTAGAGAGTACAGCCCAGTCTGGTGCAGGGTGTACTCCGTCACCAGTGCACAGCTTTGCTTTGACTGAGCGAGGGATGCCAGCTGTCGAACCATCCGACATGAGAGGGGGAGAGTCATCGTGATACCTCACCTAAAACAAGATTATATATCCGCAGAAGGAAGCTTCGGAGCCGTAGCCTCCTTCAGCGTTGGAGAAGTATTATATCATCTCTCCCTTCCCGTATCGTCCCAAAGCTCCCAGGTGATGTGATATTGCCTATACCATTCTGTTTCTCAGCCAGTCTGGAATTTGTGGTCGTTGCATCCAGCTTTCTTGCCACTTCCTCCTATAGTTCGAAACATTTGATGGCATAGCAAACACGCCAGTCGCTACCCAAACGCCCGCATTTGCAGCTATATCCATCGCCAGGCTGGGTAGGACGGATCTGCTCTCCATCAGGTTACTGTTCGCGTCCTCGTCCAGCACACAGCCAGCACGAGCTCCGGGTTGGTGCAGCTCAACAATGCCAACAGCACCACCTCGAGTCACAGCAACAGCCTCCCCATTGTCTGCTTGTCTTCCTTCAGAATTTTCTGCGTCCATCTGCTGTAACTCGCGATCGTCTTTCTCTGAGACACCGTTCAGGGCAAAGGCGCCTTCGCTCGTCTTCAAGGTTCTGCTGCCTGCCCTGATATGGTGTACGCGGAGATGCCAATTCGGTGTGGCTTCGGTTGGAGGAAGCAGATAGGTCTCGACTTTAGTGTCGGCCCACGGTTTCCACTCAGAAATCAACACTGGCGTACCATCGACAGTCTCCAGCCTTGCATTGAGTGGCTTCCTCCGCACCTTCCACGACTCGCCTTGATCGTCTGAGACTGCGAGGATATTGTCGCCCCCGATGGCTTCCACAAAGTAGCCGCCGGTGGGGACAGAATATCCGAATGCCGTGCTGTATGCAAATTTTCCGTATTTGCTCTCCGCAGCTCTCATTGGGTAGTGGCACGTCTGCCCCGAAGACAAGAGAAAAGTATGTCCTCCTTTTCTCACCATAATGTGTTTGGGATGCTTCAACGCCACAATATGGGGTATTGAGTGGGAGGGATATGGGTCTTCTCTGCACTGCCAGAACTCATGAGACTCAGGTAAGGCCAACACCGCAAAAGAGAGCATGAACCAGTAGGTCGAGCCGGGTGAATTGTAGTTTTCAGATATAAATTGGTTGGGATAGCCATAGCCGATGGTCAATATCCCTGCTCCATTGAGTGTGTCCTTTTGTTGAGACCAGTAACGCAGATTGCGCAGGAGAATACCTTTGATCACTCCCCAACTCAGAGGTGGCTCGAGGTCTAGATCTGCAAAAGCAACAGCCGCCCAGAAGCCGGCCATTGCAAACCGATAGGTGAGAGAACGGCCAAAGGTCATCGCTCGACCTGACACAGTTAGTTACAAAGCCTCCGTTTCTACAGGGACATCCTGACCTTGCTCGTCAAAGTAGTGGAGGAAATCCTTCGCGTACATTCTCGCTCGATCTCTGTATATGTCTGCCCTTTTTGGATCCCGATCACCGTTTAGCTTTGCATACAGCAATTGAAGGTACTGAATTGCAAATGAACCAGAGTAGTAGTCCATCTGAAGCGTGTCAGGCGGACCGTCGTTGCTCCAACCACCAGACAAATGGAAAGTGTCAAGGTGGTTGAGGTCGGCTTCGAGTCGCTCGGCATCATACTCTGCACCATTCTTCATCAATGCTAGGTTAGCAAAGACACGAAACCAGAGCCAATTTGTGTTCGGCATCTCCTTCTTGTTGATATCTAGCCATCTCCGAACATTCTCGCGCTCTTTCTCATTCAGCGGCTTCCAGAAATGGCCCGGAGCGACGCAGAGCGCAAAGCCGAGAGGACACATTTCGACCATTCTTTGGTCCAAATCCTTCGACCAGCCCCAGAATTCGGGATGATCAGGATTTGTCCCATTTCTTATTCCTTCCAACCAGAGCTCAGAACCCTCGAACGACTCACCACCAGCGAGCAAGGCTCCAAGACCCCACATGGGTCGTGTAAAGCCTTCGAGCTGCGCACCTGCTTCGTCATAGCGAGTTGCTGTAGCCCCGAGTCGAAGCCTTGTCTTCCCAGGTGAAAAGAAAGGTAGCAGAGGGTTCAAAAGTGATTTGCACGCTTGGACAATCTCAGACCGGGTAGCGAGGGCGCTATTCAGAGATGTGAAGAAAGGTGGTGATGTCCCAGCGGCCATGGTCCCGGGTTATGAAGTGTGCGCCCTAGACAGTTGATGACCGGGTCTATTGATGTCGTCTATCTGCCTCTACTCTGTACCATATACCGGAAAAGCCCAGAGCCTTCAGGTAAATAGAGGCTCATGATTCCCTGGGCTTATATTGATTGAATGCAAGGTCCGCCGAGCGTTCCCGTGGAAGATAACTTACCAAATGACGTCGACACAACTCGTGTCGCTTGCTTGCCGGTCTCATACTGTCACAACCCAGACGTCGGGACCTTAGTCACTGGAATTTAGCCGCAAAGCAGGAAAGACGTGGCAAGAAAGTATGGCTTCAGTGGGTACGTTGGCGGGGCTGTGATGGGCTTTTGCAATTTGGAGTCAATTGCCTCCTTACTCAAGGCCATCTCTCCGAGCTCGAGCAATATCTCCCCATAGTTCGTTCCGTTCCATGTGCATTGATCATGCTAAAAGCTCGCATTCATGAACTCCTTGGGCCACCAATCAGTGACCTAGAATTTCCATGTCTCATATCATTGTACTGTACAATGTCCTGTTGGTTCCCTTTCCCGCCATGTTGCAGACGACCCCGTCCAGACCCAGTGAAACCCTTGCTTGGCTCTCCTTCACCCGTCCAAAATTGCCCAGGTATTATCATCGACCGTCGTGAATATCTTGCCGGCAGCCACAAGTTCTTCAGCGCCCTTGTACACTTCACTTGTTGACAGACCCATTGTAGCGGCAATCATCTGAACGTGCAAACCCTCGTTGCTCTGTGGAGTATTCTTCAGGGTCGCGAATATCCTCCGTGCCAGCGGCGAGCATTGGCTGAGTTGTCCATCTGTTGCACCGGCGAAGTCTTGACGCATTCCATTCCCCATCATTCTAGGTGCTACCGCATCTCTTTGCTGTCCGTTCGACTGCGCGGTTGCTGGTCCTCTCGTGAAGAACAGGTGTACAGCGGTTGCTTCGAGCAAATGGTAATTTATCTCGTTGTAATCTGTTATAGGACGAATAATATGTGCCCCGACATGTCTCTTGTTGTTGAATGCCTTTAATCTCCCCCATACTCGACAATATCCGTCTTCCACCAATTTGGGTTTATTTGAGTCAAGATCCATCTTCTCTGCGTGGGTTGACTCCCCGTCAATCCATTGCTTTGCTTCGATGAGACCTGTTCCGTCATCGATTTTGTAGGTTATGTTCGTTGGTTGGGTGCTTATACTGCGGATCTGGCCCACGAATGTGACCTGCAAGAGATATCATTAGTCTCATCTTCGCAGGATCCCCTGTAAGCTTGATCTACCTGACTGAACGGCTCTCCATCACACCGAAAATCAGCATCTGGATGGGGTTGTTCTGCGTCGAGAATTTGTTTGATGGTCATCGGTCGGACAGTGTCTCTCCCATAACCTCCCTGAAGGCAACCGATTAATTTTGGATATAAGTCTGAAATAATGTCCATGGGCTTACCCTTCCAGCAGCAGGGCTACTCTGCGGCTCTCCAGCCACGAAGCCGCCACCATCTGCACCACCGTGGGCGCCGTAGGTGGTATACTGATTGTCGTAGCCGTAATCTGAGAGTGTTAGAGATCTTCTCAGCTCATTGAACCCTGGTCTACATACTCATTGTGTTGTATTCAGGATGCTCAAGGCGTGGAATGTAGTGCGAAAAAACTCCTCGAGAACTGATTGATTCCAAACACCGACGCGTTCTAAACGCGTAAAGTGACTTGCTCCGGGGTGCATATATGATCAACCGTAGCAGCCCCTCTACAGGTGAGTATAGCAGTTTCTGACGTAAATCACAAATTTAACATTTAGATTCACCAGACGCAGGCAAACCCACACTTTGCCTCCGTGAGTGCGGCGACTGGAGATGGCGCAATCTCTTAGGGATATCCCTAGGTAATCCCAATTCTTACAGAACTGAGAGATCTAAGATGCCTCCTAGATTGGGCTCGCCTGCCCATTCGGAGAATGAATTTGACATCGGCAGCGCATTGTTCGGAGGAGACACCGAAATTAATCACGACAGCCCAGACAACCACAATGGGGGCCTGCAAGGAGAAGACTTGGATATCATGGCAGAGGAATCTGAGGTTGATGAAGCGGCTATTATCGCCGCTCAACAAGCCGCATCGAATCGCAAAGGAGCCAATCTGAAGGGGCGGACTGTGAAAAAAGGTGGTGGCTTTCAAGCCATGGGTCTCAATGCCAATCTGCTGAAGGCCATAACGAGGAAAGGCTTCTCTGTCCCTACGCCTATTCAGCGCAAGACAATTCCTCTCCTCCTCGGCGAAAAGGACGTGGTTGGTATGGCAAGAACTGGATCTGGAAAGACCGCAGCCTTTGTCATTCCTATGATTGAAAAGCTCAAGGTACACAGCACGAAAGTCGGAGCTAGGGCTTTGGTTCTGGCTCCATCTAGGGAGCTGGCTTTGCAGACATTACAAGTGGTTAAGGAGCTTGGCAGGGGCACGGATCTCCGGTCAATCCTCCTTGTAGGAGGTGACAGCTTGGAGGACCAGTTTTCTGCCATGTCCAACAACCCGGATATCATCATTGCCACCCCGGGCAGATTCCTCCATCTCAAAGTCGAAATGAATCTGGATCTCCTGAGCATCAAATATGTTGTTTTCGACGAGGCTGATCGACTCTTCGAAATGGGATTTGCGGCCCAACTAACAGAGATTCTCCACGCCTTGCCTGCATCACGTCAAACTTTGCTTTTTTCTGCTACTTTGCCAAAATCATTGGTTGACTTCGCCAGAGCAGGATTGCAGGAACCCATGTTGGTCAGGCTTGATGCAGACAGCAAGATCTCTCCCGATCTGCAAAGTGCATTCTTCACTTTGAAGTCATCTGAGAAAGAAGGTGCCCTGCTTCATATCCTCCAAGAAATCGTCAAAATGCCCACCAGGTCCCAGTTAATCACGTCAACCATGGCTTCTCGCACGGCAGACAAATCGAACAACAAGAAGAGGAAACGCCAGGAAACAGAAGAGAACTGCAGGAACACATCTGGCCCCAATCCATATTCAACCATAGTCTTCACTGCCACGAAGCACCACGTTGAATATATCGCAAGCCTACTCCGTCTAGCGGGCTACGCCGTCTCCTACGTCTACGGCTCGCTCGACCAAACTGCCCGAAAATCCCAGGTTCACGCTTTTCGAAGCGGTCAGACGAATATTCTTGTCGTCACTGATGTTGCAGCCCGGGGTATCGATATTCCCGTGTTGGCAAATGTGATTAACTATGATTTCCCCTCACAACCCAAAATATTTGTTCATCGTGTGGGACGGACTGCTCGAGCAGGCCAGAGAGGCTGGAGCTACAGTCTTGTCAGAGACGCTGATGCACCATATCTACTGGATCTGCAACTCTTCCTCGGTCGGAAATTGGTCCTTGGCCGAGCAGCAAGCAGTGATATCGTGAACTTTGCACAGGATGTCGTGGTGGGTAGCTTTCGACGGGAGCAAATCCAGACGAGTTGCGAATGGGTGACAAAGACATTAGAAAGCGATTCCGATCTTTCGGCTCTCCGAAACGTGGCATTGAAGGGCGAGAAGCTATATCAGCGTACCAGGAACTCCGCTTCCTCAGAAAGTGCGAAGAGGTCGAAAGAAATTGTGTCGTCACCATCGTGGTCAGAACTACACTCCTTGTTCAACGATGAAACAGATGACGTGGAAGTCGAAAGAGAGAAAATGCTCGCACGAGTAGGCGGGTTCCGACCTCAAGAATCGATCTTTGAGATTGGCGCTCGGCGTGGTGGGCGAAAGAACAACGAGGATGCGGTGGACGCAATACGAAAGATCCGATCCGGCTTTGAGTCTAGGAAGCAGAAGATTGCAGATATGGTTCAAGCACGGACAGAAGTTGATGATGACGCCCCCGCCCAAACTGGCAGTACGCACGGGCACGGCCCAGTCGACGAAGACGCTGAGCCAGATTCCATTGACGACGGAAACGGCGTCGACGGTATGTCCGAAGCCTCTTTAACCGACCTAGAAATCACCTTCTCTCAACCATACTCAAAGAAATCTAAACCGTCAAAATCATCAAAGGCGGGATTGCGCAAAACGGATGAAGACTTTCGTGACCCTGAGAATTTCATGTCATATCACCCCACCACTCACGATCTTACTTCCGACCGCGCCTACGGCGTTCACTCTGGCTCTAACACCAATGCCAGCGCTGGCTTTGTGGAATCTGCACGTACGGCCACCATGGATCTCGGTACGGATGAATCTTCTAAGACATTTGGCGAGAATAGAGGGATTATGCGGTGGGATAAGAGGCATAAAAAGTACGTGAGACGCGATAATGATGAGGATGGATCCAAGACCGGCAAAAGGCTTGTAAAGGGCGAGTCTGGAGTCAAGATTGCGGCGAGTTTTAGAAGCGGGCGTTTTGAAAGGTGGATGAAGGCCAACCGAATGAGTAGGCTGGGGAGAATCGGTGAGGAGGAGAAAACCTTCAACATCAACACTAGCATTTTAGGTATTGGCGGTGCGAGGGGAAAGAAATTCCAGCATAGATCGCAGAAGACACCGAAACAGCCGGATAAGTTGAGAGGGGATTATGAGAAACAAGTGAAAAAGGTCAAGGGCGCGAAAGGGAGAGAAGAACAGTCCGCTGGCAAGGCTAAAGGAGAGCTGAGAAACGTGGACCGGATGGTCAAGGAGAGGAGGTTGAAAGAGAAGAGAAGGGAGAAGAACGCACGGCCGCGGCGACGAAAGGTCTGAGGAACATTAAACTGGAATTAGTGGCTGTGACTGAGCATGTGAGGCTCATAGATGATGATAGCTAAGACGATAGGGTTGGCATGGTTGTTGAGCAGCTTTATTACGAGGCTGAGAAGCCAAAGAAAGGGATAAGGCTGACCGTGCTGTAGCTCTTGGCAGCTAGAACGAGAAATCAAACAGTCCCCATTCCCACCGTTTCCCAACTGTTCACGCCACGTAGGTACCTATCAACAGCACGGGGGCATATCCCTTCTGATATTAGAG